GATTTCGCAGACGCGCTGGGATAAAGACAGGGAATGGAGTGAGAAGGAAATTCTAGGGAGGATGCAGAACATGTGGACAGAGTTGTGGAATTCACCCATATAAATGGAATTTCAAGGAAATCTGTAATTGACGGATTGATCAATACTAAGAAGGGGGACGTTTTTAATTCAGTTGCAGTTTGCACTGAAAATTTGTATTCACACCGCCATTAAGCTGTAAAAGCTACTTGGGTGCATCTTGGGTGGTTGTGAGCAGAGAGGAGAGTTGAAATCCGGTCAACTTTATGGTAATGAGCTATGAATTGGTTCAGCAGCAATTAATCACATTTACATTTACATTTTAGTCATTAAGCAGACGCTTTTATCCAAAGCGACTTACAAATGAGGACAAGGAAGCAATTTACACAACTATAAGAGCAGCAATGCATAAGTGCTATTAGCAAGTTTCAGGTCTGTAAAGTCTAAGAAGGAAAGCATTAGTATTTTTTTTTTTTTTTTTTTTGAGTACAGTTAGTGTATACAGAGAGGCAATTGCAGATTAGGAAGTGAAGTGGGGACTAAATAGTTGAGTTTTTAGTCGTTTCTTGAAAACAGCGAGTGACTCTGCCGTTCTGATGCAGTTAGGGAGTTCATTCCACTAACTGGGCAGATTGAATGCAAGAGTTCGGGAAAGTGATTTCTTCCCTCTTTGGGATGGAACCACGAGGCGACGTTCATTCACAGAACGCAAGTTTCTGGAGGGCACATAGATCTGCAGAAGTGAGAACAGATAAGAAGGAGCAAAGCCAGAAGTCGCTTTGTAGGCAAACATCAGAGCTTTGAATTTGATGCGAGCAGCAACTGGCAGCCAGTGCAAACGGATGAGCAGCGGAGTGACATGTGCTCTTTTAGGTTCATTAAAGACCACTCGTGCTGCTGCGTTCTGGAGCAGCTAAAGAGGCTTGATAGAGTTAGCTGGAAGCCCCGCTAGTAGAGAGTTGCAGTAATCCAGTCTGAAGAGAACAAGAGCTTGAACAAGGAGTTGAGCTGCATGCTCAGATAAGAAGGGTCAGATCTTTCTGATGTTATAGAGTACGAATCTGCACGATCGAGCAGTTCTAGAAATGTGGTCAGAGAAGTTTAGTTGGTCATCAATCGTTACTCCAAGGCTTTTCACCATTTTGGATGCAGTAATGCAATCAGAATGTAGAATTCCACCACTTGAGAGGACTTTAGAGAGCAGTCATGTAAACTTTGGTTCTGACCACATTAGAATGACATTTATTTTTTGAGAATGCACAGTTATTTTTCCAATAATATAATTTTTTTTTTTTCTTTTTACAGTGTGCTTTAGAATATATGTAACAAAATACATGTATGCTTAAACTATAGAACTACATATAGAACTAAATAAATGAATTCTACCCCCACATGATCTTAGTCCACCATCTATGTAATTCAGCCACTTATATAGAAGAGAAGCAATTTGGCTGTTTCACAAGTGTCCACATTGGTTTTTATATGTTGCTTAAAATGTTTAACAGTGTCACTATAACTTCTCTAGCCTTTATAATGTTGAATATAATGCAAGAGGGAATCTGATCATTTTAAATGTTTCATTTTAGCAGAGAAAAAAAAAAGGTCTAATAATGTTGTCAATGGCCCCACATAGAGACAAAATTTGGTTTCAAGAGTTCACACTTAGCTGATGATTTATAATAAGCTTGTTTGGAATGCTGTCCCTGGAGAGAAAGCCCTGAGCACATGATATCCTTAAGCCTGGGGCTCCCTCCCATTGCAAGGCGAGAGGGGAGTTTGAGCTCAGGTAGATCTCGAGAACTCCCCTGCTGTAGTAACTAATGAACAGATAGTGATTGCTCTTAAGAGATAACTTACTAGAAGCATGTCTATGGTGTTGATTTGGATTAGTCAATTAACTTAAGTTGCATGTTTTTGGACTGTGGGAGGAAACCGGGGACTGTGGGAGGAAACCAAGGTGAGCACGGGGAGAAAGTGCAAACTCAGCACAGAAACATCTGCTAGTTTGGTAAAGCCTGGAACCAGAGTTCTTGCTGTGAGGCAACAGTGCTGATGACTGGGCCACCGTGTCACCCATCTAGGAAAAAGAAGGAGTAGGGGTGGACGGGGGGATTCTTCAAAACGAAGATAACGGTGGTGTGTAACCCAGGGTATTTGTATTAGCTTAGGAATCATCTGATTGGTGCATTGAGAATTGGGTAATGCGGATCCAGCTGCTAGCAATCATAAGCACGTGATCCTCTCGAAATAAGTTTATAAATAAACATCACATGTGTGAACAGGCCCTTTACCGGTAAATATATCTCTGGGACAAAGCAGATGCATGAACGCTTAACCTTTAAATTAAATTGGAAAAATGTTATCAAAAGAAGTTAAGAAAAAAAAAAAACATAAGATTTCATACAGGCCTTATAATTCTTTTTATCATGAAATTTTAGTATCATGAAAAAAATGGTGATAAAGTGTGCAGGCTGCCTGCCACGACGCAGCACAGGAAAGATTCCAGATTCTCAGTTTCCTTCAAATAAACATCTCGTCTTTGCTCTTTTCTTCAAATAAAGCTCACTCTCTGTGATTAGTGCTCTGTAATTTGACTGGGATTCTCCTGGGAGGACGGAGATGTTTGTTTTCGCTTGTCTGGATGTTTGGTTGGATATTTTAACAGAGTGAGAATGATAAAACTTCCTGTCATACAGATTAAAACAAACCAAATCTCTGTGGAGAGCAATGTTTTCATCACATACTGCTGTTGAAGTCACTTCAGAAAGAAAAACCTGGAAGAACTATGCCACTTTACTATTGCGGAGTTCATTAGAGATAGGTAGTGGAGAGAATGACATTCAGTGATATTTATTTAATTTTAGTTTAGGACAAGTACATGTTCAGTTTTGTTTTTTGTGCTTGTATGTGTATGTAAATACTTCATGTAGAGTTT